CATTTTTATGTTTTACTATTATTATTATTATTTATATTATTTAATTATTCATTATATCATCTTATTTATTATTTATTATTTATTATTTTATTCAGTATGTTGTTATTTTTATCATTTATTATTAATTATATTATTATAATGTAGTGTAATTATTGAATTGATTATGTATTGATATTATATGAGATGTAATTCATGTATTATCTATCGAATGAGAATGCAGATGAATGTAATTAGATGAAGAATATGAGTCAAGTTATCATGTTTCATTATCATGATAACTTAGATTTGTAGATTCCTATTGAAAAGATGAATGATATGAGCCTGAATATTTATTCAAATTAGTAATAGGAACATTGTTAATATGATTAAGATTAGTCCTATAAGTAATTCGTATATTAGCTTAGTATGTAGTGGATAATTCATATATCTATAATTGATAGTTATTATAAGCTAAGTGTAACTTGTGCCAATAATTTATTTTAACTATAACTGAGTATAATAATTAGACTAAGGTTGTACTTCTCATTAATGGTTTAATATTAGTTATATCTACGTCAAGTTATATCAACTCTGTTTGTTATATTGGTTATACTTATGCTTTTTTATTTAATAATCTCATTCTCATATAACAAATATTCTCTATATATATATATACTACTGTTTCTATCTAATAATTGCCCTATGTCTTATCTGTACACAATGTCTTCATGTTTCAAGCAATAAGTCTATAAAATTCTTGTATATCGATATTAATCATATTTATATTATTATCATATATCATTATTATACAATTATTACATATTTATCTGCTTTTCTCCTCGTTTAATTATTATCCATTATCTTTCTACCTTGATCTTTATTCTCATGATCGTGTGATTCTGTCGTGTATTATTTCTTCATTATTAATGGATAGTAGCCAAATAATGAACTAGTGTTTGTGTGTGTGTGTGTGGTGATATGATAATAATACTGATGAAATGAGAACTAATGATAATTAAAAAACAATTTGCGTGTGGTGTGCTGATGATAATAACTAGTGAGTGTGATGTGATCATGCAATAAAATCATGTCATATTTATTAAACCACATGTATTAAGATAACTAAATAAGATTATGTGATTTAATAAAGAATAGATCATACTAGAAAACATAATAACCTATTAGAGAATATATTACGGAGATACCATAATATCATGTTGTATGATAAGTAGTAAGCAATAGATAGGTAGAGAATAGAATTTAGATTAGATAGATGTGCATATAAGTCGTAAGTCCTTTAGTAGAGAATAATAATATAGGACTCACAACCACACACACACACATACACTCATACCTACCGATTAATATCAATATATGAATTCAATAGTCATA